CACCAGCTACTCCTCGGAAGGAAGACGGGGCAATCTACTTCCATAGTGATACTGCCTCGGAAACCCAAGGAGGGGTCGCTATGAGTCAGGTCTGACTCGACAGCACATAACAACAACAACATATGAGGCTGGCAGACAATATTTCTACACATGTATTTGTATGTAGTATAAGAATGTCCATATGTATAACAGAGCTAACAGGGAGCAAAGTTATATGATAACTTCTTAGCCACAGACAACCACCCTAAGGGAGCAAGTTGTTGGGCCCATGGGCTCGAGACCATGGTAGTAGGGGACATCAAGCTCACCTGGCATAACATAGTACACGAAAACATTGTTCTATATTGTACCTTGGTAAATAACAACTGGGGTCTTAAGAGTTTGCAAGCAGCCATCCAGATGCAACAATTGATCTCTCCTCATCCAGAGAGAAGAAGAATGAAGAAAACCAAAGATGCATGGCACCAATTAGTCCCGTTGTTGTTGTTGTTGTTATTTGCCATCGAGTCGGACCCAACTCATAGCGACCCCTCCTTGGGTTTCCCAGCTCTGGTAGCATAGTGGCTAAGACACTTGCCTGCTAACCAGATGGCTGGCAGTTCAAACCCACCAGCCACTCCTTGGAAGGAAGGTTGGGCAATCCTACTTCCATAGTGATACTGCCTCGGAAACCCAAGGAGGTGTCGCTATGAGTCGGGTTTGACTCGATGACACATAACAACAACAACAACAACATCACAATGGAAGTAGATTGCCCAACCTTCCTTCTGAGGAGTGGCCTAGGGACTAACAAACCATGCAAACCTCAGTATATATGATCCTGAGACCAGAAGAACTAGATGATGCCCAGCTATCACTGTCAACCACTCAGAACAGGATCAAAATAGAAGATAGTGGATATAGTGGGTGAAAAATGTGGAACAAAACTCAAAATTATTAAAAAAAAAAAAAAAAAAAAAGACTAGGCTTACTGGTCTGATAAAGAGTGGTGAAACCCCCAAGAATATAACCCCTAGTAACCCTTTGGGCCTGGGATTAAACTCACTTCCATGGCATCCAGCCACGCAATAGACAGGTTTATAAGTTGAACATTGACATCAAGTAGATACACTCTTTAGAACAATCAACCATGGGAAGCCAGAAGGGCAGTGTTTGCACAGGGAGATAGCTCAGTGGGCAGGAATGCATAGAAAAGAAGGACACAGTGAAAGGGTAACCAGAGGGAGGGAGTGTGAAGAGAGCTGTTATGTTATGGGGATTGCAGTCAATGTCATGAAACAAAATGTGTATGGACTGTTGTATGGAAAATGAATTTGCTCTGTAAACTTTCACCCAAATCACAATTAAACAAAAAAAAAAGGATCAGTCTCTAGCCTCAGGCGTGTCAGTCTCTTGAATGTTTGAAGTGTCTTTTAAAGAACTACTTTCTGCTTAGTGCTCTCTAAAGACCTTCTCAACACACTGATTTTCAAGAGAAACCCAGTAATGGTACTGCCACCATTACTGCCACGGTATGGCATTTCCTTAAAAAAATTAAAAGTAGAAATACCATTTGATCCAGCAATTCCATTACTAGGAATATATGCTAAAGAGGTGAGAGCCAGGACACAAATAGACATATGCACATCCATGTTCATTCCAGGACAATTCAATATAGCAAAGAGGTGGAAACAACCTAAATGCCCATCAACAGATGAATGGATAACCAAACTATGGTACATTCACACAATAGAATACTATGCAATGTTAAAGAATAATGAAGAATCCATGAATCATCTCACAATGTGGATGAACTTGGAAGACATTATGCTAAGTGAAATGAGTCAATCACAGAAGGACAAATATTGTATGAGTCTATTATTGCAAAAAGTCAAGGAAAAGTTTACATAGGGAAGGAAATTCACTTTGTTGGCTACTGGGGATGGAAGGGAAGGGGAGGGAAAAAACTTCAGACTAGTTGGGGGTCACATGGTGATTTGGGTGAGAGAAGAGGCAGTATGGAAAGAGTCTGTGACCAGCACGGTGATAATGGGGAAAGGCAGGACACAAAAACATACACAAACAATATAGACAATAGAGGCAAATACTATTACATGCACAATACTACATTACGAGTGGCAACAAACACTAGACTATGGGTAAATGCGTAGACAGGTGAGAAGGCAGGTGGGAGTAGATGAACAGGAATAAACTCAAGACCAATGATAGATTTGGCTGAAGATAATCTTACATATGTACTTGTGTTATAAAATTACCCACATACATTACGTAAGTAACAGAAGACAAGGCTGGAGTAGCTTCCAGAGTGAACCAAACACCTTGAGAGAGAGAATCATTGGGCACTGTGGGCTTGGGACCATAGTCTTGGGGGACATCATGCTCAATTGGCATAATATAGTACATAAAAATCTTGTTCTATATCCTACTTTGGTGAGTAGCAACTAGAGTCTTAAAAGTTTTCGAGCAGGCATCTAAGATGCAACTATTTGTCTCCTCTCTTCTGGAGCAAAGAAGAGTGAGGAAAAGCAGAGTCATTTGAAAACAATTAGTCCAAAGACATGAGGACCTCAGCCTTCACAACCCTGAGACCAGAAGGACTAGATAGTGCCTGGCTACCAATGCCAACCACTTGGAAAGAGAACAAAATTGGCGATCCTGGATAGAGTGGGAGGAAAAATGTGGAACAAAATTCAAAAACACAAAAATGACCAGAATTACTGGTGAGATAGAGACTGGTGGAACCCCCAAGACTATAGCTTTGGATTATCCTTTGGGCCTGGAAATGGACTCACTTCCATGGATTGGCTCTCAGCCCAACAGTGGAAAGACCTACAAGCAGAACACCTACCCCCAGGAGATGCATCCACCCTACCCTAGGGAAATGCATCTCTTAGATCAATCAGCCATGAGACATCAGAGGGGCAGCATTCACATAGAGGGAAAGCTGGACAGCTAGAAATGCATAGATAAGAAGGACACAGGAAGTGGGTAGTCACAGTGAGGAGAAAGGAGGAGAGATTTTTAAGGTTAGGGATTGTAATAGGAGCCATGAAATCAAATGAGCATGAACTGTTGAGAGTAAAATGATTCTGCTTTGTAAATTTGCACCCATATCACAAAAAAAAAAAAAAAAAAAAAAGTTTAAGTTTATGCTATTGAAAAAAAAAGAGAGAGAAAAAAAAAAACCAGTAAGTTTATTTAAAAATACTTGTTCCCTGGGCCTCATACCAAACTTGTTAACTGTCATTGAGTCAGCTTTGACTCATGGCAACCTTATGTACAAGAGGAAACATTGCTTGGTCATGTACTGTGCCATCTTCATGATTGTTGGTATGTTTGAATCCATTGTTGGGGCCATTGAAAAATGCTTTTCTACCTACGGGGCTTATCTTCCACTATATTGGGCAATATTCTATTGGGATCCATAACGTTTTCATTGGCTAATTTTCAGAATTGCCAAGACATTCTTCCCAGGCTGTCTTAGTCTGGAAGCTCCACTGAC